GACTGGAATCTAGAGACAAATACATTGCGACAGATGCATATAAATCACTTTCCGAGCTAAACAGCCAGTTGAACCAAAGCTAGGTAAATGGCATGTACCTTATAGACAAAAATACTATAAAATATATTTAATTTTATGTAATGCATGTATAAAAAAAATTACAGCAGAAAGTCTGAAATCCATATGTTCTAGTATCCAGGATGATCTATTATTACTTGATGGCAAATTTTTTGTTGAGTTTTTTTTAAACAAATTCACAATTTACTCCCTGACTAACTGAGATTCCTGTACGTCACTTCCAAACACCTGCAGTCTAGAGAATCACATCAAGGCTAATGATGTTTGACAGCTGTGATCACAATTTCAGCTCTCTAGTAATCGTGAAGAGAAGGGGTAGGGGTGGGATTTTTCTATTTATTCCTTCTAAACAGTAAGTGAAGTTTCAAGACATATTTGTTTAGAATGAGGTGTTGTTAATATTGGTTTTCGTTTGTTGGTAATGCAACAGGAAGAGAAAAAGAAAATCGGAAGAAGTTTAGTTAGTTCATCAAATTATGCTCCTCCTCAACTAATTTGATCCAGCTTATTACTTTTGCAGGCTCCTATTATTACAGCCATCTTGTCAAAATTAAAATTTGAATTTCCAATCATGTCAAAAAACTTTCTAATTATAAAGCTGTAGTAAGAATTGCAAAACGAAAGCATAGTGGCCTTGGCATGAGAAAATGTGATTTCAAAATTATGCAGATCAGCAACCTTATTTTAGTGTAGATTTTGTATGGTATGAAGCCAAGCATACTGTCAAATTCTGTTTTATTTAATACAACTTGGTTACTTACAACTTATTAAAAGAAAAAAACACATAAATGTATATTGAAAAATTTTTTAGAGACTCATTCTGGTGGTACAATTCAGCAACTGCTGCTAATAATGCCTCAAGCATCAACCAACTACAGCTTCTTTTTTTCATTGAGATTGAAAGATAGTAAGCATATTTGCACTGAAAAACAGCTATATAGACACAATGCAAGCACAAAATTGTAACTGGATCATTAAGTGTTAGGCCAAAGCAACTACAGAAAACAAATGCCAAACAAAGTCATAAATGCTTCATTATTTGATAAACATTCATTTTATATTTTTAATTTTATAACTTCTGCATATTATCTTACTAAATTTAAATCGATGACCTAAAATCCAAAATTGCCAAAGTCCCGATGAGTCTGGATCTCCGACTTTGTATCGTATTTGATTTTACCATTCAAACAAAGCAAATAAAATGGCTTGAGCACTAAAGACATGATATTATTATTATAAGGAATTTTCTCTCTCCTCGTGTGACTTTGTTGTATAATTAAGAGACATCTGGTTTTCAAATCTTGGCAAAGGCACTTCCAACTGTCTCATGTTTCCTGCTCCAAAAAAGAATATGCTTAACAACAAGGCCCCTGAACTAAAATGTAATGAATGAATTCATTGCCATTTGCAATTAGGTCCCCTTTTTCTTTACCATATGCCTTTGTGGTGTAGTTAGCCGGCTGGCAATCAGGAGGTCTGGAATTCAGAATCCCAGCCAGGACATCACCGTTTTTCGTGTTTCTTGCTTTGAAATAAACCTAGTAATTTTATAATATTATATATAGATTAATAGTTCTTAAATTTTGAGTTTCAAGACTGCTTTCATGTGAGGTGCAATTTGTCAGACCATTAACTTTATTTTTATGTAATACAAGGTAAACATTTTTATGTATATAAGCTATTTATATTCACTATACAAATTATTACAATATCAGTTTTAATTTATAAATTTAGAAAAAAATGTAATTGCAACAATTTTTATGAAAAGCAAAAGTATTATTAGAGATGTTAAGGCAAAGGAATCAGCAGTAATGTTTATAAATTTACAGTTTTAGTTTCAAAGGTTTGAATATGAAGCCTCCTCCTTCAGCTCCATGAATGAAAATGACAAAAGAGAAGCTGTTCTCACGTAATCCCACTAACAGAAAGAGACCAAAAAATTCAAAGAAGTTCTGTCAGAAACTAAAAACAAAACTACATGCACTATCTATTCATGCAAACTGAAAACAACTATGAAATAGATTGGAATTTGGATCATTAACTAGAACTGAAAGATTTTTATGAATATGAAACACCTCTGGAAAATCTTAATTTGCTAACAGAAGTTTTTTAAAAATAATTTTGGTTGCAGAATAATGGAAAATGATTAAAAAAAATCTGATGTGGACACCATATAACTTCCTTGTGCAGTCTATTAAATTATTTAGTCAATTCAGTTCACACTTCGCAGCAAGGCAAAAATGCATAAAAACCCAAAACACCATCATTAATATAATTGTGAAATACAGAAAAACCTAAAACTCCAAATACAGTTAAAAATAAATGAAAAATAATTTTTGCAATTAGTTTAATGCCGTAGCCAAACAAGCCAGTTGCTTGGCCAACGGGCAAGAAGACAAATTTTTCAGTGCACAAAAATTTAGAGTTAACTTTTGGTCTCACTGGGAAAACAGAAAAAAAGACACTGAAGTCGGTTCACCACTGTACTGCTAAGAGTTTCAAATGTAAACAAACAGCTGTCACATTAGGCCTAGCATGACTTGCACTTTTGAATTTTTGATATTCTAGAAATATTGCATGCCGATTAACTTAAGGCATACAGATTTTAACTGGAACATAAGAACAACATAATTCAATCATGCTTTAAGCAAAAAATGCATAATTTACCCACATATAAGAAAAAAGAACAGAGCTCACCGAGCCAGGTAAATGGGTGGTACATATGTAATAGCGTAGTCGTGATAGCAGAGCAGCAAAACACGATGAAGATTTTGATACCAAACCAAGTTCAGCTAATTACCATCTTTATTTCCAGGCACATTAGAATAATTCTTCGTAGGCAATATATTTTTTTTTATCATAAACAATTACAATAATTCCTTTAACAAGGCAGTATAATTTTAGATGGAGAAGCAAAGCAGCATGGATGTTGGCGTGGCAGAAGCTAGGAGAATGATGCAGTTTATTTGCAAGCTGTATTTATACTAAGTACATGTAGAAAGTACTCTATGACTGGTTAATTTTAGGTTGTTATGTAATCATGGTAGGATCTTGAATTTGGGAGAACAGAAGAATTTAGGGGCAGAGCACCAAATCTAGAATCGTTAATTTTGAGGTCACCATTTATTTTTAAAGCAGCTATTGTATTTTCTTATATCTTATGCACATATATATATATATATATATATGCTTAGTGTGGCCAATTGCAACAAAAAAAGTAGGTGCACAACTAAATGCTATAGCAGTCGCATACAAAATTTCAGTGTTCTACGGCTACTCGTTTTTGAGTTATGCGAGATAGGTACACTTACACAAACATCGTGTAAAAATCCCTTCTGAATCCATTTTACAAACCGTTTGAGAGAAAAATCTTTTATTTTGCCCATATGTACAGATATTGCACAAAAAATTGTTCAAATGAATTTGAGAGCAGTCAAAATGGATATATTCATTGAAATACAATACCGTAAATTTTTCGAGATCATAGTACAGTCAAATTTTAATCCGGCATAATCTATAATCCAGACCTCAAAGCTACAAACTTTCTACGAATATGTAAATGCATAATGCATTCACACATGCGCATAATATGTTTACGCATGCGCGTTTAATGTATAACGGACGGTATAAGCTAAGCTAAAATTATCTATTTTAGTTAATGTTGCAGATTGTGTTGTTCCTTAATCTTCGAATTGGATCTGGCTTATTATTTTATAAAAGTAAGCTAGAACTTTAGAGAATTTTGTCAAATAGAAGCACTGATACTTATATGATTACTAATGCCAAAAAGATTTGATTCTGGAGTTACCAAAGGATCTACAAAGTGAAAGCATGTTTTCGATGTCCATCAAACAAAAAGTGGAATTGCTTGCAAAAAATTGGATAAAGGCATATTTACTTTCTTTCTCTAACCTATTCTGAAATCTGTTTCATCAAATTTCACGCTGCTCTGCGGGGGAGGGGGGACGTCGCGGAGAGCAAATGAACTGGAAAGTTGGTCTGTCAGCACTATCCTTATCTTCAGGGCAGATATTTTTATTTCATTCGGCTTATAATTTCTTACTAAATGTAGTATTTCATCTCGATTTACTCTGTCTTTGATGTGATTTAAATAAAATTCCTCGCCATTATAAATATCACAAATACACATCAAATAGTTTTCTGGTTGCAATTTTCTAATTTCGGCTATGCATAATGTATGCTTTACGCATGCGCGCGTTGAAAGAGATGTTTAATAAAGTAAACAAATAAATATTAAGCTTTTTTTTTGTAAATTTTGATCATAATTGCTCTTTATTTCATAAATTATGGTTTCATATTTTTAATTTTATAATTTCTGCATGCCATCTTACCAGATTTAAATTGATGGTCTATGTATGATCCGGAAAAACCGATAATCCGGAATCGCCGAAGTCCCGACGAGCCCAGATTAAAGACGTTTGACTGTACTTTCTTTACTTCATAAAAGGAAGTAAAAATGGCACAAAAGTTAAACTCGTCTAAAATGCATGCGGTTTTGTAGCTAATCAATGGAAAGAAAGCAATGATTATAGAATTCTTATAATTTCCTAAAACAAGAGAATGCTTTTTGTTGGGCTGAGATGAGAATTGTTTAACTGCTTGGTCAATAATACTAAGTGAAAAGCTGTCAATAGCATTTGCTTTTAAGTAGTTTAATTATTGCTCAAGAATTGATTTGGAGAAACTTGGTGTGCTCTGAAAGCTGAGGAATAAAATGAATTCATCTGATTTATGAATTGCGGGTTCTATTTAGTCAGATGACAGGATCTGAAGATGGGTGAAAGGCAAACAGATGAAGGTTTATGGCAAAAGTATGTCTATTGCTGTTTCTTATATGAAGTATGACATTGTGCCTTTGCCACTATATGTGAAGTATTTGAAATGTGTATCCGTAAATATGATTTGACATCCGATCAAACTTTTTATTTAAAATATAGCAAATATATTTTATAGTGATAATGTACAACTCTTATAATAAATTATATTTACATTGATTTCAGAAATTCTTGATTGTACAAAGCCGTGATCACAGAAGATGACATACCACCAAGCTCTTGAGTTATATCCTGAATACATTCATCCAATATAACCTCAGATATCCTAAAAATAATTACATAAATCGGTATTATTGCAAGAAATTACTGTTATGAGAAAGAGTTTCTTACGCAAATGTATATAGCAGAATATTATAACATATTTTGCTTATATATATATAAACTGATGTGTACACCACAGGACTTCCTTGTACGGAATATTAAATTATATGCATTTTTTCTTGCATTTCATTTAAACTTATTAGATTGAATTAAACCTACTTCGCTGACACCGCATAAACCACAATAGAATAAAATGCATTCTTTAAAATTCACTTTGTTTACCATAGCGACACTCTGGCGCTAGGTTCACTTAACAGTATTATATTTCTTCATATTATAACTCAGAATGCACAAAATTTATATCATTTAAAGAATTATCTAATCGTTGCCACATGTTCTATTCAAATACTATAATAAAGCTTGAATGATGTATAAAAGAAATTAAGCAAACAAAACAAAAAAGAAACAGTTTTTCACAGACAATTCACAGAAACAGTTTTTCACAGAATTTCTCATTCAATTAATTCAGTTCTCACTTTGCGAGAAAGCAAAAATACATCAAAACTCAAAATATCTATATTAAAAATTACGAAGTAAATCTTAAACACTTATTTCCTCGAAAAAATTACAGAAAGGATTAAGCATGATTTAATTCACAATAATAAATGAAGGCGTTATCTTTGTTGTTGCAAAGCTAAGTTTCTCTAGATTGGCAACAAATCCACTAGTTTGCTGTTTCAAATGTAAACAATCAATGGCTGCCATGAAAATAAAGGCTTAGTGGCACTTAAACAACTTTAAAATTGTTGATAGTTCTAAAAATATTGCATACAGATTTACTAAAGGCATAAAAATCTTAACCGGAAGATAAAAACAACATAATTCAATCATTTTTAAAGCAAAAAATGTACAATTTACAAACATATAAGAGTAAAGAAACTGAGATCACGAGCTGGGTAACAGAGTGGATATATATATAAATATATTTATATACGTTTGGTGCGGCCGATTGCAACCAAAATACGAGGTGCACATCTACATGTTATAGCAGTCCTATATACAAAATTTCAATGTTCTGAGGCTACTCGTTTTTGAGTTATGCGAGATACGTACGTACGTATATATGTTCGTACAGATGCCACGAAAAATTCTCTTCAGAATTCATTTTAAAGCAGTTTTATAATTTTTTTGGAGGAAAAGAGTGTTTTATTCTGTCCTTACGTACATATATCATGGAAATACGTCGTTAAATTGCATTTGAAAGAGGTCAAAATGGGATATTTTCGTTGAAATATGCTGCCTGAGCCTTTTCGCGATTACAATACTTCATTTTTACTTCGTACAAGGAAGTAAAAAAAGAAATAAATGTCAAAATGAGCAAATATTAATTGGATGTAATTACACATTAAGGAAAATTTAGAGGACAGTAATAAAATAATGCTTAGATATCTTTTACATATTGCTATGGGAAATGTGTGAAAAGTAAGCATTCTATACAATAGTGATTTTTAAGGTAAATTATGAAATGTCTGTTTTATTTTAACATTTTGCATACATTCACTAGACATTGTATAGAACACCTAGGCATTATAGAGTTGGTTGGTTTGGATATGGCACAAAACCACATATACACCAGATACTAAACCAACTATTGAGAAGGTCAACAAGTGTCAAAACATACCTGGAAAACAGGATTCAATATTTAAAATACCATAATACAAAACTATAAAACCATTAATATACAGATAAATAAGAACAAATATAAAACCAAAAGATAAAGTAAAGAAGTCAAGACAAATTTAAACCACAACTGACAAACTGATAACATGATATAGAAATTCATGTCATTATACGAGGGTTGGAACTTTAATAGTGGCAACACAGCTGAAAAAACGCTACGCAACAAAACCAAAAAATATCGCATATACTACACGTAAACTACATACCTACCTTACCTCTCAGCAAAAAGACTCGTACTGCCTACGTCACACGCATGCGGAGTGACGCGAACAACGAATCCTTGTATTAGCTCGCGGTCTAAAGTAAGTGTTGTCAGGATGTTTTCAAAACAAGAACAACTATGTTGGATAAAAATTGAATGTGCCAGAGGTTGTACAGGATGACAGTGTCATCAAGGGCTTCAAGAGGCTTGCGGGGAATCTGCATTGCCTTACAGAACCGTAGCAAGATGGGTGAAAGCATTCAATGAAGGACGGCAAAACGTGGCAAACATGCTGCGGCCAGGTCGTCCGAGTGTCAGCGATGCAGACGTGCAAGCTGTTGCCACATTAATGGACAGTGATCGCCGCCAAACGATTCGTCAGCTGGCCGGACAAACGGGATTAGCGCATACGACTGTGCTGCACATTCTGAAGGAACGCCTGCACATGAGAAAAATTGTTTCACGATGGGTTCAGGGTTCGTATACATTTCCTTACATGAAAATTAAGGACTTTTAAGGACCATCAAAGAAAAAATTAAGGACCTATTAGCCAAAAAAAAACCCAAATAGAATAAAGCAATTATCCATACAACCGACTTCATGCTTGTAATTTCACTTTAAGAAACTAACAGAAGTGTGTATTATGCACTATTATTAAATTCACTTTAAACTTACCATAAACAATTTTGAAAATTAAACTAACTCCCTACAAGTTATGAAGTAGATAACATTAAATTAGGAACATAATTTCTTTAAAAACATGTATAAGTGTATTTTACACTAATAACAGTCACTATTTTAGAGATTTACATGATTAACTTATTTGATATTTATTTAAACACAGTCAACTACTATTATAATCACAATGTAAGAATATTTTGCAGATTAAAATAACTGATTTGTAAACATACAATTTATTTCCTTGGTTTTTTGAAAGATACTAGAATAATAAACTGTACAAGAAAAGATACAAAACATTTGTGCTTTTTATTAAATCTGAATACCTTTTCAGCTATTTTAACTAATTTATTTATGTCTATTTCCTTTTCTTTAACTATTCTTCTAATTTAATTTGTTTTGATAAACAAATTGAAATCAATCTTCATGCTGGTCTCAGCTTCATCTGCTAAAGCATCTACTTCTTCATTAATATCTTTAATGTCCCTTTGAAGAAATTTTTTTCTTCTGCTTCATATAATCAATTTCTTCCTCAATGATATTTCGTTTCCTCTTTGAATTTTCAGATTTAGTTAAAGATTTTTGTTCTTCTAAATACTGTATATATTTAGACCTTGCAGAAGCTGCTGCTGATCTCATTTCTTTATTAATTTCGATATTAAGAACACTCCAGAAAATTTTATGTAATCAAATACTCTGTGTTGAAAAATGTATGATGAGTCACTTAAATTTTCAATTTCAATTGCTTTATTTACAGAGAAGCCCCTTTCCACAGAGGCCTGTCCATGTGACAAGACAAGAATCATTTTCACTATTGTCCATACTTTTGAATAGTGAAAATCATGAAAATAAGAAGTGAGAAATGTGTCAAGGGAAAGATTTTGAGGATCAAAAGTAGAAAATTCATGTAAATTTGTCTTAACTACTTTGTCTAGAAACTCTCCAAACTGCAGCAGAATTTCATCCCAATCATCTTGTAAAACATGTTTATTCTGCATTAATACCGTTAGAACTATTTTCATTTTGTTCTGGGCTTTTTCTGGACTTTTAACCATCAACCGCGGGTCTATACAAGATGCATTTCGAATAAGAGAATAATTTATTGAGCATTTAGACATTAAGTGTTATACTATTGTTAAGACACATTGTTGACCTTCTTGTTTCAATGCAAAACATTCAGCTTGTGAAATGTCCTTCTTGCGGCATTTATCATTCATTAACTGCTCAGCAATGAATCCCAAATAAACTTTACTTTTATCATTATACACTGGCCTGCAAAAATTAAGGACGAAGTCGAAAAATTAGCATATCAGCTGAACGAAGAGGCAGAGCGAACAGAAAGACCAATCAGGAGATTAAGTAAGGTGATGTATGGTAGCACATGCACAGATATGCAGGTAGACGTAATGGGGGAGTGTCTGAGTGGTATAAAGCATGTTGTTGGTGTAAGATCAGTATTTCTGGCAAAGAGATTGCACGCCGTATAGCAGTTAAAATCACACCGAGTTGCTGCCTCAGCGTGAAATGGCGAATAATCAATCTGTTAGACGACATCTGGATGCTTTTACCCGAGGTCGAATCATTGGGAAGTTGGAGGAAGGCCGCAGTGCGACAAGTGTAGCTGCAGAGTTCGGAATTCCTCACAGCATCGTTCACGACTTTGGAGACAATTTCAAACTACAGGAACAGCTATCTGGGGGTTTAGTAGTGGTCGTCCACGAGGAACCACACCCGCAGATGACCGGTATATTGCCTTACAGGCCAGAAGAAACAGGCGCAGACAGCGTGAGAATCGCTAGACACACGACACAGGCGACGGACGACCGATATCGCTTTTACCGTGGCCAGAAGACTGCACGATGGTGGTCTGTTTGCACGACGCCCTGTACGGTGTTTACCTCTAACGCCTGCCCATCAGAGAAGGCGTTCTCTGTGGTGCCGGGAACACCGGAATTGGGGAGACAATGAATGGGGACGAGTACTCTTTACAGATGAGAGCCAATTCAGTCTGAGTAGCGATTTTCATTGCATACTTATCTGGAGAGAGCGGGGAAGCCGCAATCATCCCTCGAACATGATTGAAAGGGACAGGTATGGAGGTGGCGGTGTTCTCGTTTGGAGAGGCATCATGCTCGGTAGTTGTACAGAACTTCACATCTTCGACGCAGGTTCAGACAATGGGGCCCGTTATTGTAACGAGATTCTTCTTCCATATGTACGTCTTTTTAGAGGCGCTATGGGTCCGCAGTTCCTTTTCATGGACGACAATGCACCATGTCATTGCACAGTAGCTGCCGAACAGCTCCTAGAGAGTGAGGATATTGAACGTATGGATTGGCCGGCATGATCTCCGGATCTCAATCCCATCGAGCATGTATGGGATTTTTAAGGCACATGCTTGGCAGCTCGTACCTTACCACCAGTAACGATTCCGGAGCTTCGATTGGCGCTGCAAGACGAATGGGCAGCAATGCCTCAACAACTCATTGACACCCTCATTCTCAGCATGGGCAGACGCTGTGAAACCTGCCTAGCAGTCAGGGAAGATCATATCCCCTATTAAAGACCGGATGTTTCTTGTTGGACACCCATCACAGGGATGTTTCGGCCTTCAGTCGCATTGCGCTCCATGCTACTTTTTCAATAAAGCTTCTTTTTATCCCTCTGATTTCTCTTTTAGTAAGTGTTGCTTACATTACTCATGTCCTTACGTATTGGGGATCTTACGGTATTAAATGTGTTGATTTGGAAAGCTTTTGTACAAAGTTATATTGAAAAAACCGTCTCATCCTTAATTTTTGCACACCAGTGTAACAATTTGGATCATTAAAATTAAATTTATAAAGATTTTCTGCTTTAGTTATCTTTGAATATTCTAGTTTCAAAATTTTAAAGTGCTGAAGGCAATCATTTACAAGTTTTAAGATATCTTCAGCAAAAAAGGGAATAAGTCGTTTATCACTTTGATAATATTCAAGGAAAGGCAATAATATTTTCGACAGAGAGAGAAAAAAATTCAATTTTATAAGAAATGTTTTATCTTTAGTTGCCTCCAAAATATTTGAGAAGGATTTCGATGAATTTTTTTTAAACTTACCCATTTCAACTTCTTTAATGTACAGTAGCAAGTCATCCCATATTTCAATGGCTCTTTCAACTGCTGGGACATTTTGCAACCATCGGTAAAAGCAGAACTTCACAGGTAGCTTTTTTAAGCCAGATATACTTAAAAAATCTTCACGTCTTGCAGGAGAATCTTTAAAAATCTAATATAAGGAGGATAAGAATGATGGAATGTCCCAGCCAATGGATGACATCCTATGCTTGAAAGCATGTTAAGAATGTGTAAAACTACATGTCCCTAATGTCAAGCATTGAATGTTATATTCCTTTGTCAAGTCATGTTTGCAATAAATCATAAAATTTCCAGTTTACTGCAGGACCATCCATCGATATTTGTAAGAGTTTTGACAAGTCTAGTAGTTTTTCAACACATTCATAAAATTGGATAAAATAATTCACTTGTTGCATGCTCTATAAATGCAGAAGTAAGGTACTGAGTTCTGACCTTATTTTCCGTGATGCCAGTACCTCACATAAATATCTAGTTGCTTCTTTTGGTTTGTCAGATTAAGAGTCTCATCAAATAGTAATGTAAAAAACTCAGCATTTTTACAATGCTTTAGTGACAAAGTTTTAAAATAAGGGCCAAGACCAAAATAACAGATATAAGCACATTTCTTTTCACCACATGAAAAACTATTTTGCAATGGAACTATCCGGGAACATTTTAGTGAATAACGGCCCAATATCATCGCACGATTTAAAAGAATAGTGGCTTTTGATGCACTTAAAAAAGTCCACAATATTTCTGCATCTGTAACTTCAGATTTGAAAAGAAAAAAATTGATTTTATTATTTTCTACACTTATTGATGTTGATTAGCAGTTAATCTTTTCCCTGAAGTAGATGGTTCTAACTTCATGATACTGACAAAATTCATGATACTGTTAGAAGAAACTCTGCAGTTGAGAAGGGGAAAGATGTTTTGCAGCTAAAGGGATTAATGCAAGGCATTAAGTATCGCATATATAATAAACTCCGTAGAAGGTGATACAAAATTAATTTATGGCTTAATTGAAACAAACACATAAATTAAGCTAAGCAAAACCGTGTAAAAACAAATTGAAATGATAAAACGAAACTTAATTTTCATGTGAATTTTCAGCGCTGACTCTCCATTCTAGAAATTTCAATTTGTTTCAGACAAAGACCACATTTAATGATAAGAAATGTCAAATGAGCAAAATTAAGGACCGTTTATTCATTTTGGCCAAAATTAAGGACTTTTAAGGACCAAAAATCATTTTTGAAAAAATTAAGGACTTTTAAGGACCGTACGAACCCTGTGGGTTCCACATCAATTGACAGAAATGCAGAAATGGCTATGATACGATGCTGCCCGAACCCACCTGGAGCGTTATGAGTGTGAAAGAGATGCTTTTTTACGCTGAATGAGACTTGGGCCCGATCGTACCAGCCAGAACTGAAACGGCAATCAAAAGAATGGCGTCATCACGGGTCACCACGACGGTCAAAATTTCGTCAGAACCCCAGCAATGTGAAAGTTATGGTGATTCTCATGTACGACTGTGATGGTGTCATCCTAACGCATACCGTTCCCCCACAGCAGACCGTCACTGCACAGTATTACTGCTCATTTTTGGAGCACAATCTCCAACCAGCTTTGAGAAAAAAACGGCGAAACTTTCTGCAGAACGCTCCTCTCATTTTGCATGACAATGCTCAGCCGCATGCAGCTCAAGCTGTGACTGATTTGTTCAAGCGATCGGGCTGGGAAGTGCTTTACCATCCACCATACTCCCCAGATCTAAGCCCTTGTGACTATGACTTAATTCCTAAGATGAAGGAACCACTTCATGGCACTTGCTTCCAAACTGTTCCTGAGATTCTTGCGGCAGTAGACCGTTCCATTCAAACTATCAACAAAACAGGCACTGCTACAGGTATTCTGGGACTTTCACATCGTTGGAAACGGGTTGTACACAATGCTGGCGACTATATTGAAAGACTGTAAAACATGGTGACATGAATGACTTTTGTATTCCTTGTAAATAAATAGTTGCCACTATTAAAGTTCCAACCCTCATATAAAAGACTAAAATATTAAACAAAATTATTGTGCACTGTGGTGTAAAATATCACACAAAATGAATACTTAAAACTGTGGATGTCACAGAAAACTCAGAACATGAGCAAAACAGTAAAAAATATAATACAAATTAATGCATTTTTAAAAAGTTAAATAGATAAAATGGAGGTTTAGTCCCAGCAAAGTGGTTGATAAAATGTCTGTATTCATAAAATATAAATGGCGAGAATTAAGAAGTGGACAATCAACTAAAATATGCTGAAGTGACATAGACACTTCACATTCAGTAGAAACTGGTTCACCCTCTTTGTTCATCAGATGTCAGTGAGTAATCCCAGTCCGCATTCAGAAGGTCAGAAGAACTTTCTCGTCATGATACTTGACTGACTGTTAACACTTCACCTTGGGTATAATCTGCCTGAGTTTATTAGTTACTTGGATATCCTGGAGCTGCTGCTATTTAGTAAGCATTTCCTATATGTCCTTCTGTGTAGCTATAAGGGAATAGAATGACTGGATATATCCACTGTTTAATTTTGCTGCTATATTTGCTAATTCATTGCCTTTAATGGCAGTATGCTCGGGAATACAGCAATAAAGTATTTTGTAACCTCACTCTCCGAGACTCCAATTTAATTTCAGCATTTTCACAATTAAAGAATTTGCAGGGTATGAGATAAATCCCATAACAGTAAAACACTCATAAAAACTGAATAAATGAGAAATTTTTTTTTTTATTTGTTTTGAGATGAATAACAACAAAAAATAACTGGCTAAAATTTTAGCAGTAAAAAGAGTATAGGCATCATGAAATTTCATGCCCTGTATTTTATTACCTTGAAGAAAGCTGATTAGACTCATTATATAGAATGACAAATACTATTTCAGAAGAGTATGAAAAAGGTTTTTATTGAAAAGACACATATGAAAATAAAAGCATAAAATATGAATGATGACATTTTTGTACAGAAACCAAGAACCAGTGACGGATTACTTATTGCTACAAGATAGGCTGACATGGTATTTTTCATTGCACTTAACTGCATTGTTATACTGAATACACCTTCAAATTTCATCATACAAGTACACCCCATGAACCTTTGGTTCAAACCTTATGGGCTGGCTGCATGGTTGGTTTTTGTGGTTTTTCCCATGTGCAATGTGAATATGAGTCAGTTTCCCTCAGAAAGTCATTCATGAAGGCATCTCTTCTCTTAGGCGGATAGCCTTTGTGCTTTGCTATATTCAGTTAAGCTTAGCTAAGGTATCATGCAATCCTTAGTTAACAATTAAAATTTGCATTTTGACTTGCTAAGGTATGTTTTCTTTTTAATATGTTGATTATGTTTGCCGACTTAAAAACGTTGCAAAAGCCACCAATATGCAACTGATAAGTAACTTTTACCTTTTCATCTGTAAAAAGTCACCATATTATGTCAAGGTGATTGTGTTAATGCATAAATACCTATATGTTATGCCATGATATATACTAGTTAACCAAAAAAACTATACTACAAATATGATCATTTCATTTCCATAAATATCACTTTCTAAGTGTTGAAATCTATAAATATAAACAAATTTTTTTAACATACATGTTAGATAAAATCCATGGATTAAAGTTGCCTTTCTCAACACGAGATATTTTTTCTAGATAATCCCAAAACTGATTTCTGTTACATATTATTTCTTCAGAAACTCTTGGATCAATAGAAAGTACTTTCCATTTTTCTGTGTAAAGAGGAGGTTTGCTTGATTCAGTGCCAGGCTGGTGTTGTGGGACATGAGACATCTTTTTAGAATCGGGTGATTTTTCAGAGGTCCTATTATGAAGAAGATGGCTCGTATCACCTTCACAGTCAGCCGGTTGATGAAATGCAGATTTCATGTTCTTACTGGTTTGATTTTCATTGCTTTATAAAATAAACAGCAAAATATATGTTAGCAAATATAATCATGGAAACGGTAAATAATTAAAATAAAACAGGTGTTCCCATGACGTAAGAATGATCATGTGTTCATAAACTCATACCTAAATTATCAAGCAACATAATACAGCCAAAAAGAATATACATATTTCAAATGCATATATTTATTAAACTGCATGACATACGAATATGAAACTTTACACACATATGCACAAACATCTCAAGTTCAGATTACAGATGTTCAATATATCCTCCATCAGTGACATGAACAATATTCACATCGATACTCAAATTCCTCCAATACTCAGGGAAGCATGTCCGTCGTCACTAATGTTATGACAGTACGGATCCGGTTCCTCACCTCTTCCAGATTCTGTGGGAGTGGTGGTACATAAACGTTGTCTTTAATGAAACCCCACAGGAAGAAGTCAACAGGAGTGTCAAATCCTGGTGGTCACGTGGAGGTCAGCTGAGACATGCCTAAGTCGCCTTCCTTGACGACCAATCCAATGGTTCGGTAGAGTTTCATTCAAATAATTGCACGCACTTGGCGACATCTATGGGGGGGGTGCCCGTCTTTCTTGAAAAAATGAAGTTGTCTTAGTGCAGCCTCGGAAACAACCAGTTTTGTAACATAACGAGATACTGCTGACGGTTAACCGTGTTTCCATCAAAGGAGAATGGGCTGTAAACAGATGATCGGGATATCATACAAAACACATTGATTTTGGGCAAATCCCGTACATGTTTAATGGCTGCATGTGGGTTCTGTAGGCCCCAAATTCGAACATTGTGTTTATTTACATGACCACTAACATGAAAAGTCACTTCATCACAGAACACGATGCATTGTGTGAAAGTGTTATTGTCAATAACATCAATAATCTCATTACAAAATGCTACATGTTTGCGTTTTGTCTTCAGGATGCAGAGCCTGTAACTTGTACGGCTTCATAACCAACCGACGTCTCAAAACACACCAAATTGTTGTTGTAGGCAGTTGTTACTCCCGACTAGCACGATGATTGATTTTGGAAAGCAATTTGAATTCGTACATTTTTGTCGGGAACACAAGGCGGTTAGGACTCTTTCCTTTACATACACATCCTGTATTTACAAACTGTCAATACCATCTGCAAATGTTCCACCCTTTCGGAAGATCACTTTGGTACCTCCACTTGAAACGTCTTTGCACTGTATTCATGGAATTGCACTTCGCAAACTCGAGAAACACAAAATGATTTCTGCTGCGGAGTAGCCATTTTAAATATGTAACAGTTACCATGCAAAACAGAAGACAACTGACATCTGGTGGCTATTAATATAAACTAGACTATGTATTCGTTTCACGAATAGCCGATCCGAGGCATAGTGATCGATAGTTTGGACAAAATAACACTTTGTAATGCGTATATTCTTTTTGAAACATGGTGTATATTTAATATGTATTAAAAAAACTTATACATTATTTTATCATGTATCCTCGCCAGCTAGTTTATGAAAAATTAACAGATATTTGCATCATTTTCTCCTTCTGTTGTTATACAAAGTCTTCCCCTTCAAGAACTAATTTATTAGTCAATTATATTTCCCTGATTATTTTTATTCAGTATTTATTCAATTGGTAGCTGCAAAATTAAGCAAAAAAGTGACCTCAGTATGGTAGATGTTTTCAGGGAAATTTTTTCCCAGTAGGGGGGGGTGGAATTATGCTGAAATATTTTTGATCCTGAAGAAGAGGAACTTATATCTGATCACTTTCAAAATGGATAAGGTTAACCAAAATCCATGCCAAACTATGGGTGCTCTTCCGCCTGATTTTAAATGGTTAACTAAAATTAAAACTAAGCTGTCTGGGGATTTCTTTCTAGGTGACGTTTCTTTGTCACTTATTTTTAACCTCTGGTGAATTTTTCTTTTATCTTCAGTTCAAAAAATTATTCTGTAATATTTTAATCATATTAATAATAACTGAATTTTTCATCACATTCAGAAATTTGAAAACAAAATCCAAATGATAATATTAGCTGTCATCGTATTAAGTGGTGTTGAGTATATTTAAGTGCTGCTAGAAATTTATAACTGATTGGAAGATTTTTACTACTATTAATTATTTGCCAGATAATCTCAAAGTTTGTTTTCATATTTTTTTATATGTTGTATCTATAAGTGTATCTGTTGATTACATAATTAAATAAAGAGCAGTGTATGACTATCATTAAGTAAAGAGCTATATGTTTTTTTTCAAAAAACCACCAGAATGCTGGTGGAATCTCTACCAACGCTTTTCCAGCTGACAAAAAAATATGCAAGCACCAGAACATAATATTATTTTGAAATTTCAAGTTTATGGAAACAAGTAATTAGGAATATACTATACCTTTTAATTTTATCAGTTTCAACTGCTTTGTCAATAAAATTTTGTTTTACAGTAGGATTTTCATCAGAAACAAGCTTACACCAAGTCTTTTTCGATGGATGTAATTGAGTACTTGACTTTTTAGGAATGGTCCCACTTTCTATCTAGTGTATAGAAGTGATTATAAATTTAGATGAAAATTAATCTAAATTGAAGAAAATATGGGCTACAATATTAGCACAATTCAAAAAATAAAATTCGGAATTATGACCATTCCTATTTAACATTGTCCTTTTTTGTGATCGCAGTACTGGCACATATTTTAGTTCAATACTGCACAAACAAATGACAGTAGTGCTTCTGTTGCATTCTTTTGTTTTTCACATATATTGGTTGCACTACTGACACATCTCAGTTTCTCCGCTACTTGTATGTAGTGGCAAGCCTACAGATTAAAAGTATAACATGTTGCTGGCTGTATGTAAAATTAAGAAGACTGTACTCACTCTTTAATTTGGGGAGGGGAGGGAATGTGAAACTATTGCAGTCAAAAGTCTTTAATTTCGGACTCGACGGACTCGGCGATTCCGGATTATCGATTTTTCCAGATTATACATCATCAGTTTAAATCTGGTAAGATGGCATGCAGAAATTATGAAATTAAAAATATGAAACCGTAATTTATAAAATAATGAGCGATTATGATCTAAAGGGTATCAAAATTTACAAAAAAAGAAGCTTAATATTTATTTGTTTACTTTATTAAACATTTCTTTCAACGTGCGCATGCGTAAAGCATACATTACGCATAGCCGAAATTAGAAAATTGCAACCAGAAAACTATTTGATTTGTATTCTGTGATATTTATAATGGCGAGGAATTTGATTTAAACCATATCAAAGACGGAGTACATCGAGATGAAATACTATATTTAGTAAGGAATTATAAGCCGAATAAAATAAAAACATCTGCCCTGAAGATAACGATAGTGCTGACAGATCAACTTCCATTTCATTGCGCCCCCCCCCCCACACACACCGCACAGAGCAGCATGAAATTGATGAACAGATTTCGGAATGAGTTAGATAAACAAAGGATATATGCCTTTTATCCATTTTTTTTGTAGCATTCCACTTTTTTTTTTGATGGACATCGAAACGTACTTTCGTTTTGTAGATCCTTTGGGAGCTCTAGCATCGGAAATTCTATTTGACATAATCGAAAGTTCTAGCTTACTTTTATAAAATTGCTCTTACAGTCTGCAAAAAATAATAAGCCAGATCCAATTCGAAGATTAAGGAACAATGCAGTCATCAACATTAACTGAAATAGATAATTAGATAATTTTAGCTTATACCGTCCGTTATACATTAAACGCGCATGCGAAAACGTATTCTGCGCTTGCGCAGACGCATATGCGCAGTCGTAAAGGTCTTGCGTGCACGCGTAAACGCCTATGCGCATGCGTCAACGCGGTGCATGCGCAGAAAGATTTTAGCTTTGAGCTCTGGATTATAGATCATTCCGGATTATGGGTGTCTGAATTAACGACTTTTGACTGTATTGAAATTTATGTTCCATCTCAATATGCCCATTTAATTCGAATGCTAAAGAAACAAGGCACCCTATTCAAATTTTTGGAAATAGAACATGTTGATTATACTGATGTAAATAATCTCTCAGATCATTCAAAATTTCATTGTAAGTATTGAAAATGACACTGTACACCTCAAAGAAATTTTTACACTGAAGGTAGAAATACAATCATTGAATTACTTCTTTCATTAGGCTTCTGTAAAGAAATAAATTTTAAGACTGCCAATGTGAAAAAAACTTCCAGATGTGGAAAAAGTCTGCAGTACTTCCAAGAAGCAACATAAAAAAAAAAAAAAAAAAAAAAAAAAAAGTTTACAATGAACATCTTGTAAAATATAAGATAAAAATTTGACAATTTATAAAGTTTAATTGCTAGCAATGCAATACCAAACTGTTACTCAGCAATTTAGAGTAATCTAAAACTTGAAATCATAAAAACAAGTTTTTCTTGGGAAATCGTTCCCATTCTTTTTCATTTTGATTAATGAAGTAACACTGAAACATTAATGCCATTTTATAATTTTATATTACATGCCACAATATAGTAACATTATTAATAAACATTAGTTTCTTGTCAGTATTTTTTTTGTTATTACTACGAGTCACAAACTTTCAGCATGATGTTAAAAAAGCTGATGTGTACACCGCACGACTTTCTTATATGGAATATTAAATTATATGCATTTTTTCCTGCATTTTATTTAAACTTGTTTCCTCAAATTTCATTAGAGATATAGTTCTCATTCAATTAATTCAGTTTTCACTTTACGGCAAGGCAAAAATACATAAAAACTCAAAATATTTTCATTAAAAATTGAAAGGTATAAAAAAACACCAAATACAGTTCAAAAAATTAAAAAAACAATTTCTATGCAAAAACAAGCAATTCAGCCAGCAGGCAATAAGGGAAATTTTTTGATGCACAAAACTAAAAGCTTCCTATTGGTCTCACTCTGCAAAAAGACACTGAAGGTGCAGAAAGAATTAATTCGCTATTGTGCTAAGTTTCAAATGTAAACAAATATGGTTGCTATGGTAAAAAAAAATAGGCATAACCACACTTAAACAACTTTTAAATTAAGATAAAATAACACGCCGAACAAGTATTAATTTAGAAGTCAAACAACCCAAAATCACTATATCTTATATCGTTCATTTGTGCTTTGGCAGCTGAGGATGATGGTTAGCTAAAACCATTGAAACTAGTCCTGTGAAAATTTGCAAATATAACGATGGTTTTTGGTTGTTTGAATTCTAAATTAAAACTTTTAAATTGTTGATAATTCTACAAATATTGCATGCAGATTAACTAAATGCATAAAGATCTTAACCGGAGATAAGAAAAACATAATTTAATCATTTTTAAAGCAAAAAATGCACAATTTACCAACATATAAGACTAAAAAAACTTAACTCATTGAACTGAGTGAAAGTGGGTATATATATTTACATACTTTAGGTGAGGAAGATTGCAACCAAAATATAAGGTGCACAACTACGTGTTATAGCACGTGTTATAGTATTATTGAAACTAAGGGAAACTTTAAAGCTTTTTATCTCAAAACTTCATTTTTTGAGTAGTTCCAGTATTACAGCCATAAATGATATATTCAGACCATATGAAAATAGTAAATGTTGCATTAACTGATAATTTAAATGTCAATTACATTTTATACTAATAACATGTTTCTGTGCATCAGGTTTTTCTGAAAATGTAGATGGTTAGAAAGGGGAATTTGATCCTTTATAGCAAATCCAAAACAACAAAATTTAATATAAATGAACTAAAAACTAACTCCCCCCAACCCCCCCATAAAAGTCCTTCTTATAACAGAAACAAATATTTAAGATTTTGTTCCAAAATTTAGGGTCACAGAAAGCAACAGTCATTATGGAGTCATATTGGCAATACACAGTTTCCTGATTTCAAAAGTTTGATAAAATTTAACACTTCCTAAGCTTGAAAAAATTCTCAAGAGTGCTGGCTGCAGATTAACTACTGAACAGAACTGACTTATGGTTCTCACAAGCCTTTAAAAATTTTTTTTTTTGTGGTAAAAATCCCCCAAAATACTCATATATCTATTAAATTCTGTTTCTACATACTTTCCAAATATTACTAAATTTTATTTCCAATGAGTAGCAGATTTATCAAAATTAATATGTTATGTTTCACTGAAGCTATATATAATAATCAACAAGTTTTCTGCACAAAATTTCGCTTTTAGAATATTAACAAATAATTACCTATACAGATAAATACAATTAATATACATAATTTTATGATGAAACAAATATACAATAATACAAAATAAAAAAAATTACTCAAATCTACATATATTCTAATACACACTCACTTCTGCCTTCTTAGGTATTATTTCAAGAAAGTTTAATTTTCTTCCTTTCTTTTGACTGATGGAGTTCAGAACTACAATTGTTTCACCAACTAAATCATCTAATATGTTGTCAACAGCTGTTTCTATATTTTCATCCTAAAAAAAATTAAAATATACTAATTTTTATTAAGTAAATAAATAAACAAGCAAATAAAATTTTATAATTTAATCTCTTTTATGTGAGTGAAATACTTGCTTTGTTGAAAATTTAGCTTTCACATGACAGAGCCAATGTACTATTATAACACAGTCAAATCATACCATAGTGAACTTGGCTTATAATTAATGAATGTTTTGGTTCTTGTCCAGTTCCCTATATGCTTAATCTTATTTTATATGCCCATAGCAAATTTCCAAATGCATAAAAACTGGATATAACAATTTTTGGACTGAAAAATTTTCCAGAATTTCTTCAATTTTCAAATGAAAAATTTCTAATCCTTAAATTCATCTGTTTAGGGTATTAAAATAATGAAAACTTACTTTAAGTTACTGCTCTTTTATCTTCACTCCCATCTTTCTTTGAGTTTTAAATAAAAAGCTATACAAAACAGGTGTAGCTTTCTTAGAAAACCAGAGCATACAATAAGCATACCTTAGGACAGTAATCTCAAGCAAATTGCATGTGGACTGAATGTAAGATCCAAAAGCACAGATGGGCTGAATTTTTTTAAAAACCAAAATGAGAATATTTTTTAGCAAAACAAATTTTTTAAACTAATTTAAAAATTTACTAAATATTTATCCAAACATATATAAATAATAATAATGGCATGAAGGAAAAAAATTCAAATTTATATTTATTTTGTGCCTGAAATCTAAAGGTTGAAAATTTCTGTTAGTCGCATATTTTAATTCAAATGTATTGAGCTAAATGGTAAGTTTCCAGACCGACATTTATTTTGAATAATTCTAACATGTTGAATTAATGAATAAATAAGTTTCTTTAAACATAAACTAAAAGTACACAAATGACTAAAACTAAAAGTGGTACAAAACTTGAGAATAAATAATGACAATCTATCTTTAATTTATTAAATTTTTCTTTCATGCATACAGCAAAATACATATATTTGTTTGTAAATAATTACAAACTCTTTTATTTAAAATCGTAATATTCAGCTACAACCGCTCATGATATTTTGATTTTGATAAAGTTTGTAGCCTTGGGGGAAAATTACCAGAAATTATTTTCCTCATAAACTGTAGACCATTATCAAACATTCTAGTTCTAGGTTTTTTTTTTTTTTTTTTCCCCCTCCCATTTATTAATTTTCAGTTGTGGGAGGAAAAACTGTTCAATGTAAATATAACCCCAAACAAAGTGATTATTCTTATTGCAAAAGTTTGTAACTGAGGTTATTTACTTATTAACAAGTACAAAAAAGCAAATGTCAGTAACAAGGGTGTTACTGACATTTGTTGTTAATGATAATAAAAATAATGTAAAATTGCAATAAAAAATTAATATCTTAAGATTTTCATCAACTTTTTCCCATAATAAATAATGCCACAACAATGCTGATTAATTTTGCAGGAAATGTATTTGCAGCCTGCTTGAAATCGCTTCATGGCCCACAAGCGGTCCGTGGGTTTTGAGATCACTGTTGTAGTAGATCCTATCCTATAACAGACAGTGATCCAAAGAATCAATGATCTGTTGAGATAAAAAAATTTGAATCTGTCCTTTTAATACATTTGAGATCTTTCCCTGAGCTGTCAGACAACATTCTGTCCTAGGCTGGTGCTTATACATAACTGTAAATTTGTATTTTATATGGAAATATGTAACTGGAGGGATGGGTTAAAATCATGTCTTGTATGGTAATTAATTTTTCACATAAAATTACTAATGTACAATAAATGTGAAAAACAACAAAGACAAATTTAGTAATTACAAGTAATAACGATTGCAATTAATTAATATTTTTTTTAAAAACTAAAGTTACTACTAGCATTATTTGGGAGTTGTGACTATGCTAATCACTCTCTCTGTGTGATTCATCAATCAGTTTTTACACTATTTTGTAAGATGATCCTTTCCCCCCCCCCTCAATCACATCAGACAGAGTAAACCAATATTTTCAGTCCCTTGAAGTTTGTTATAATGGATTTGCTGTGTATGTTAAGTACTCCTTTCAGGTCAAAAATCGCAATACTACCTAATATTTGCATTAGAAATATTTTTAGCTCAGTCTTTCCATTCCTTTGCACCAAAATAAGTTAATATATCATCATTTATTTTGCTTCATCTTATTGCTTTAATCATCATTGTAGCCACTCACACTGCCATTCCATGTTGCAGAAGAGCTTTTACTTATTTTCCAGATTATGAGTATATATCACAGTTAAGAGAGCAACCACCTCTGTGATTTAAAGAATACCACATTTCCTTACATTTTCTATCCCTAGCTTACACATTTGCATAAATTTCCTCTTCTTCTATTGTATATATCTTTTTCCTCAGAGGGCTAGTTTATTGGTAAATTGTAGCCCTTCGATTATTTAAAATTTTTATTCAATGCGTTAACTTTGTATTTGCATTTTTGAAACATATTTTGTGCAGATTATTTGTTCAGCTACCTGAACATGGCAGATATTCTCACACTTAAGAAAATTTTCAAACTTGTAATTTCACTTTACTTCTGTTATCTACGCTTCAGTTCACTGTACCCTTACCTACTACTAATGTGTTCAATCTTTCAAAATCCAGGACTTCTCTTCAGCCCCCTTTGCCTGCATTTCTCCAGTGTCCTTCTTAGGAACTGTGGTAAAGAATTATTCTTGTGAGATGCCCCTGGTGATTTCAAGTAATCGAGCCATTCAGTTACTGCCAGATATTGGCTCAATACCCATCAGATAATGTTCATATTATTATGTATTCTTACTGGAATATAAGCTTCTTTTAAAGAAATAATATTGTGATAGTTACCAGTAGTTTGTCTATGACTACTTTTTGTTTGTTATGTTCATACTGTAGCCATGTTCTTTGGAAACCAAATTATTCATATAATTTTCCTCTCTTGCTTTTCTCAGGTAATAAAAGTAGTTTAGAAAGGGATAAAATATGGTAATATATTCTTCTCAATATTTTAATGCTTCTTGATAACATTAAATTTTTTTAATATTAATACTATTATTATCTAAATAAAAGAATTAAAGTTATACTGAGTGTAATTCAGCCACAGAATTTAATTTGCCTTCAAGATAATTTTTGAAATAATTTTATATTACTTAAATTTAGCTACTTAAAATTATGCCAGTAATGTATATATTAGAAGCTAATTCAGGTGTTCTCAGCAGTTTTTGCCTCATGTACCACTTTTCCCATTGCTAAAAGATCATTCCCTCCTTTATAAAACTCCAAAAATGCATACCTGCAGTTATTTAGATTTAGAATATTTTCTAACACCTTTTATAAATTAAACAACAAAAAGTATGAAAAGTGTTGGTAAATTCCAAAATTTGGGTGAAAGTTATTTTTTATATTCATAAAGTAAAACTAAATATTTAATAGCTAATAAAAAGGATGACAGCATCCCCCCGAAACTATATTGGTTATTATTGATTAAGGAAAAATCACAAAAATGACGAATTACTCAAAAAGTTAAAAGTAGAAATTAATGAAACTGATCCTCAGAATGCAATATATAGTAAGGTATAAAACAAAATGAAAAGGAATTACCAGGCAATTATTGTGTTATAGAAATTCGCATGTGTATAAAATGAACAAATTGGATGTGTCAATGTTTGGTATAGGAAAATTACCTTCAATATGGAGTATCAGCTTCCCTAGAAGCAATAACAACACATACAGCAATGTGTGACACTGTCAATTATGCAGTTTATCAGTTCCATAGGAAGTGACAGCTCTTGCAGTGACAGCTTTTACTTTGAAATAGTATAAAATTAATGTTCATTACATAAATAATTTAAGGCATTATAGCAATTAGCCAAGGTGTTGTCATTTCGAGGGGAATTTCCTACTCTAGTTTCCAAAAATTAAGGAAAAATCACAAAAATAGCAATAACTCATTCAACTCATTCAGTTGCAAGTGTGGCAAGGAGGACTGAGAGCATCTATATGTTTTCCTCAAGCATCTCCAAATATGCTTGAGAGGATTAAGGTTCAGTGACTAAGCTGGCCACTTGATGCCCTGAATTATTTGCTCTAGAAAATAATCATCCATGATGCGAGTCCTGTGTGTTGCCATCCTGTAGCAGGAAATCATCACATATTGCCCGAAATAAGGGTGCACATAAGCATCAAGGCTGTCATCTCTATGGTTCTGAGCATGCATGGTTCTGCATGGAAAAAAATGAAAGTCTGTGCATTCACCCAAAGAGATACCCCTCAAACACAGACACTGCCTCCTACTTAAGCATCTCTTTCACCTATGTTTGATGGACGATGACTGGTTCCAGGTTCTGTCCAAAGCAAATAATGTCTAAGCTTTTGGGGCTAATCTCGGATAGTAAACCTTATTTGTAAGAGAACAGCCTTTCACTGATCAGCCGTCCAGTGGACATGTTGACGTGCTCACCCCTTCTATGATGTGACATGAGCGCCATGCAAATGGCTGATCGCTCACATACAGACCTCCTTCATGAAGCTTTCTACGCACAGTTGACACTGACAGCAACCTTCTGGTGGCTGCAGCAAGGAAAGATTTGAAATGAGTCAGAGTTGCGGTTCTATTCTTTCATGCGCATAACAACAAATATCGGTCACTGGTGCTCATCGTAGCAGTTGGTCATCCTTGGCTGAATCTTCTGGATGCCGAATCTGCGGTTAGAAATTGTTGCCAAAGTTTACAAACCATAGAAGGACTCAGATTTAGCTATCTGTTCACTTATGTCTGACTTTGTCCTGCCTCTAGTCTCCCAATAACTACCCATGGCAGGTCTTTGGGCTAATGATGGCTAGAGGTCATTGTTACGAATTGGCCATCCCAGATTTCTTATCACAGTATCACAGCAAAATTTGGAGGCATGCTGTCAAACATGCAATTTTATGCTCCTCATAGATGACGTATTCCAATCTCAGCGACACTAATTTGCGTACTGCAGTTTTAGCAACTCTTATTTGACAACAT